CGCAGGCCCATATCGAGATTCTCGGATTGATCCATTTCCTGAGATCTGGACTGATGCTGCTGGCAGTTCGAGGACCTCTGGTAGCTGGCTGAATAGCTGGTCGGGATGAGGAGCAGAAGCAGGTGGTAGAGGAGGATGTGGCCCAGGATCCGTGGCGATGCAATGCGCATAATTATATAAGCCTTCAAAGTTGTTGCCAAGTTTGCCTTTTCAATTCCGGCTTGAACATTTTTACATTTCAAGTAGTTCCGCTAAGCCAACGTGCTGGGCGTTCTGTGGAATAAAATGTTTAACAAAGTTTTTTTTGTTAGAAAAACTCTGGGCAGCAGGGCCGCATAACTTTTCCGCGCAATTTAACTTAACGTTCAAGAGTTTCTCATTTTTATTTTCTTTTGTACTTTATTCACTTAGTTTTTTTTCCTACCCTAGCTTTTCCTTGACATGAAAAGTAGTCTAACAATGCATGTGGCAAAATTTTTTTGTTGGTGATGCTGTTGTTGAACAAGAATTAATTGGGTCGTCAAAGTCCTTCAGCCCCGATAAGCTTTCAGCCTTATCGAAATGGCAGCACAAAAAAAAGGAAAAGAAATCGGGAACGAAAAAGTGGTGCTGGGCAACCCAAGACGATTGCTCGGGTCATTTGTGCGTTGATCTGTTAATCCGAAAAGGGTTTTTGCCAGCTTCCCATGACGAAAGCCTCGGCTTTTCCACCCGTTTGATTGAGGGTCCGAGAAAGCTCCGCCATTAAGCGGGTAAGTTTGTTATGGCCAGAAAGGGGCCTTGGCCGCAGCCACTAGGCGTATGCATAATAAAATCAACAACTTAAAATTTAAGCACCCCCAACCCGCACACACATTTCTCTCTCAATTAGAGATAACAGATAACTTAAACAGTTTAAACTGTGTGTATATGCGGCCAGGACCACAGTCGCAATTTGAGCAGAGTGTGGGTGGGTGCCTCACCAGAGTCGTTCCCTGACGTAAAAGTCTGTATTTCGACCGGGGCACACTCGTCCTTGTTCATGGACCTCGTCACTTGCATTCGCCTTTTTGCGTATTCAAGTGCCTGAGCGGAAGAGTGTTCCATACCAATCCCCCCGCTCTTCACATACTATCCCCACCCAAAAATGACACTCTGGGTGCGGAATGTGGGCGGAAAACCGCAAAAAAAGAGTCTTCTAGATGAAATCGATGTGCATGAACATTTTGCTAGCAGAATGCCTGTCTTTTACCGTACACTGAGGAAAATAAAGTCACCAAGAATTATGTTTTAAATAAACAAAGTAAATTTAAATGATACTTAATCATAATATAAATAAACTAAAAAAAGAAACTAAACTCAAATTTATTTTGAGCTCATGTATTAAAAGTTGTAAATATGTTTTAATTTAAAACACGTAAATAACCTTATCTCATACAAATCCACTAACTTGTCTCTAAGTGTATAGAATGAATCAACCAGAACGAAGATAAAATGCTCTGTTGAAAAACGGAATGCCTAGTTTTAGTGAGGAACTTTATGGAATATGATGCGAACGGTGCTGGAGAAATGAATGAAAACAAACTCATTTGTTTTCTGAACGTCTGGTCTTCGGGAAAAAAACGCATAGATCAAACTCAAAGAAAACTCTTGGATCCAATGTGATTTCTTTCTTATTTCTTATTTCTGATTTGCTTGCCACTCAAATATCCTGCCCCGATATTGCAGTGCCCCCTAGACCATCCGATTGCCCATCGAAGGGAGGTCTTGCCCACAAATTCAATTTCCTCTGCAGCCAGTCGTCCATCGAACATGTCCTGTGAATTCTGCCAACTGAAAACCAAAACGTCTATGTGGTGAGGTGGCGAAGTGCCGATGTCGTTCTGGTGTTTGCACCGCATATAGACACATATATTTGCCAGCTCTCGAGTATATATATAATATTTATGCCACTGTAAGTGCTTATTGATGTCAGATCTGAAATTGGAATCTGCTTGGGCTTTTGTTCTTAGTCCATGCGGATGCACATTGCAGTTAAGGTCTCGTTTCGGTTCCCGTTGTTTTGTGTACTCTCAATTAAGAAAGTTGGCATTTTGACATGACTGAGCTGAAACCGAAACTTGTACCCCGAAAAATTGTAAATTCATATATGCCAGTGGTGCCGAATACACACGAAATTTTTATAAAAACAGACACAAGGCTCTGTCCCAAGTGGTTTCGAGCAGGAGAACGAAGTGGGGCCCGTTGAGGCCACAGTAAAATTTAATTTTAATGCATAAGCAAATTGAATTTAAGCAACAGGAAAATTGTACGTCTGGCCACAAAGGTGCCGCATGTGGAAGCAAAAACCATTTCCCAGGGAGCAATGTAGGCGGACTAAAACCCCGCAGAGTGGTTTCATGCTGAAAGTTTTCACCTGACGGCAGGGCAGAAAGAGAGTAAAATTCCATAGCCCAACCACATTTACGGAAATGGGACATTTTCATCAAAAATTAGGACACCCTTGAAATATTTTTGGTCTACAAATTATGAGGAGATTAACTGGTATACCGGAACATTATTTGAAAGTATTTAAGGTTTTCTGAAAATGTTTTGTAAATACGCCACTTTAAATTGCTATTTAGTTTAGGAAGGGGTAAACGCTTTATGGTAAAAGTAAAAGTTTTTTTTTGCAGTGACCCCATATATTGTTTTATTTTTGTAAGCTCAAAAAAACCAGCATACTACTTCTGGGATATCATCCAAACGAATTCCTCGTAATTTATCTTGCCATCGCCATCGAAATCGGCCTCTCTGATCATTTCATCAATTTCCTCATCGGTGATCTTTTCACCCAGGTTAATCATCACGAATCGCAGTTCGGCTGGAGAAATAAAGCCATCTCCATCGCGATCGAAGATCTTGAAGGCCTCGCGCATCTCCTCCTCGGTGTCGGTTTCGCGCATTTGCTTTGCCATAATGGCACAGAACTCATTGAAGTCCAGTTGCCCATTGCTGTTGCTGTCGGCATCGGCTATCAGATCCTGCAGCTCGGCCTCCGTGGGATTCTGACCCAGGGTGCGCATCACGGTGCCCAACTCACGGGTGGCGATCTTCCCGGTTGCATCCTTATCGAACTGGGCGAAGGCGTCTTTGAACTCGGCAATCTGTTCCTCCGTTAGCTCGGACATTTTATCAGGTTTTTTAGAATAACATATGTTATGTCTATATGCTTTCAAGGAGAATTTACGAGCGAGAAGGTGCCAAAATGGTTTTGAAACTGAAAAGTCTGGGTTCCAACTCCCATAGCCTGCTTAGCCTCTCATGTGGTGGACATCGTGTTGACAAATCGCACATAGTCAATGTTGCCCTCATTATCGGAATCAGCATCACGGATGATCTCCTCCACCTCATCATCCGTCATTTGCTCCCCCATATTCTTCATAATGTGACGGAATTCCGATTCGGATATAAACCCGGTTCCATTCTTGTCGAAAACTCTGAAGGCGGCGATAATCTCGTCCTCGGTGGTCATGTTCTCGTACTTCTGGGACATGATATACAGAAAATCGCTCAGATACAGTTCACCAGATCCATCAGCATCTATTTCGGTATATAAGTCCTGCAGCTCCGCATCACTGGGATGGTAGGCCACAGTTCGCATCAGGTCTCCTAACTGCTTTATGGGAATGACCTTGAGGTCTTGTTCGTCGAACAGGGAAAAAGCCATCTCTAGGTCCTTGACCTGGTCTTCGCTCAAATTATTGGTGCGAATGATACGCTCCTCAGGCGGCGGAGTAAGAAAGTCAAAGTCCATGGCCAAAAATGAGGATGGGGCTGGGAAATTTTGGGGGTCACTGAACAGTCACTACAATTTTTCAACTAATTAAAATTTTATGATTTTATTTTGAAGTTTAAAGTAAAGTTAATATAATTTTTCGATAAGCGTTGGATTTTAATCCTCTATCCTGGGACCATCATATCGCTAGGTTAAATCAGGTAAATGTTAAACCAAGGAATAGTTTTTGCCGGCACCCAGTACAATTCAAAGTTTCTCCTTAATTCTGAAATTCATATGTGGTTTTATATATTAGAGAAATCATCCAATTAAAAATACTTACTCAAATTTATGTCTCCATCATCATAGTCACAAAGCGAACGTAGTCAATTTTCATCTCCGTATTGGAGTCTGCATCACGGATCATTTCCTCAATTTCATCTTCTTCCATATTTTCACCCAGATCAGTCATTATCTGACGGAACTCAGATTCGGGTATGAAACCAGATCCATCCTTGTCGAAGACCCTGAATGCCAGGATCACTTCATCTTCGGGCGTCGAATTCTCATACCGCTTGGACATGATGTATAGGAAATCGCTTAGATACAGTTCGCCTGATCCATCTGTATCGATTTCGGTGATGTAATCCTGCAGCTCATTTTCCGACGGAGTGTGGGCCACGGCTCGCAGGCAATCCCTTAGTAATTTTATGGGAATGACCTTGGCATTCTCGTCATCGAAAAGGGCAAAAGCCGCCTCACAATCCTTCAATTGCTCGTCGTCCAGAGTATGCGTGTGAATGGTACGCACTTCCGGTGGCGGCGAACTAAAGTCAAAGTCATCCATGGCGAAATAATAATATTTGAAAAGCTATCAATTTTAGAAACAAAATTATTTCTTAAAATTTATTTGGCAAAAAATTTAATCTTGATAAAATTTCGTTTTTTTGTTGGAACAGACTCGTTCACAACGAGTTTATTTTTGAAACTAAAAGCAATGATACCTGTATAAATAAAACTTGATTAGCAGGAAAGAAAACAGAAACTTATTTTTTGTATTTCCAGAGTTTCCATTATCATAAATATAGTATTGCTATTTAAATATAAATTTAAAGCATTCCTAAAATCAAATATATATATAAATTATTTATAATAATGACGATCAGCATCGTTGGCTTACAGAAAACGATTTTGATAATCATAAAATGAGCTGGAGTCGAATAAAACCAGCATTAGCTCGAGACATAGGCTTTATTTTTTAAAATTAAACTCAATATTCATTTTTATTATATATATCTATTTTGTATAATTTCGTTCTCCAATAAAATCAGGTGCACTATCAATAGACAGTTTATCAAAGATATGTTTTAAAGTAACGATCAAAGTTTAGGTGGGTAGGCAAAAGTCTTCTTGATCATGGTTAGGAACTCAGTGAAACTTATACGCCCATCTCCAGTCGAATCACCGGTCCTGAGCATTTGCCTAACGACCTTTTTATCGCTCTTGAATTTCGTGTTTTCTAGCAACTGGAGCAGATCGTTTTGGGTGATGAAACCGTCGCCGTCTCTATCGAACATCTTGAATACCTCGCACATCTCGCGCTCCTCCTCGTTTTCAAAACGCGCCATTACAAGACAAAACTCCTTGAAGTCGATCTCGCCATTACCGTCCAAATCGGAGGCTTTGAAAATTTCCTCGAGTTCCTTTTCCGAGGGATTCTCACCGAGAGATCGGATCATGGTGCCAAGTTCCCTTATGGTTATCAGGCCACGCTCGTTTCTATTGAGCTGCTTAAAGCTGAGCTTATATTCCGCCAACCTTTGCTCATCCATTGAGCAGAAAATGTCTACCTGATCATCAGTTAGTTGATCCATGATTGTGAAAAAGACTTTAAGGATGATCCTGAAATTTAGTTACGTTTTTAATTTGATTATGTGCCAAATGAATGTTTTGAAATCTTTTTTTTAAAAAGGTTTTTGGGCAAATAAAAGCTTGTAACTAAATTGTTTTTACTTTGGCAGTAAAGTCAAAATGTATAAAAGTTGATTTAAAAAATAATAAGCAAGTTTTTAGTTTGATTTTGTATTCATTTCAAAAATAATTGTAATTAATTTTACCAGCTTTGAATTTACTAGAATGTATTGTTTTAAAATTAAAATAACAATAAATAACCTAAAGAAAAACAAATGTTTATAAAACCATTTTATTTAACAAGGTTATTTCTTAATAAACGTTTTTTATGGTGTACGTTAATTGTTAAATCGCCCCAATGACATGGTTGTTAAATTCTTTAACTGGGAGCACCATTTTGTGACGGAAAAACCACATCCCCGTAATATAGTTACACCCCGATAAATATAAAAGGATTTAACAATTAAATTTGCAACAATTTCCCGAATAATGTTTTTAAAGATTTTGGCTTCGGCTTTAGGCATTGCGGCGGTTGAAAAGGTATGGGTAATTACATTTTTAATTAAATGCGACGCAGTTTGTTTCGTTTTTATTATTATTTTTATTTGTATTTTTGTTGGTGCATTTATACAGCTGTTGAGTATTTTTTCTGGGCAGCCATTTTTTGCCATCGCCGGTCCCTTCGGGCATAAAATGTTTTTTGTTTGGTTTTGTTTTTTATTGAGCGTTACGGGCAAATAGGAAAATTATCCAATGCAAAATTTCGTGCAATTTGCATAATTTGGGTGCAGAGCGAGCGAGAAGCGAATTGCACAAAACCCATATCCTTGGCCATCCTTTCTCACACGTGCGCTCCCCAGTGAACGCAACAATGGGAACTTTTTGCTAATGAGAAGCAAATCCTGGCCACGAAGGACACGAAGGATTCAGGATTGGGGCCAAAGTTGAGCCACACAACAAGGCATTGTCAAGAATTTCTCAGCATAGATTAGAGTGGAATTTTCGGACCAGAGATGCTGGGATATACATGTAGCTGTGTTGAAAACAATGGTTCCAAATGTTATACAAGTAAAATTTGTTTCATGAAGGGATTCAAGTACTTACTTAATATACTTAATATATTCTTTTGTTATATTTCGTCCAGTTCGTTTTCCAAACAAAAGTATGTAAATATTAAATATCACAACACATTACATTGTGTTAATATGAATAAGCTAACATATCGCTCTTTGGATTTACCTAGCATTTTCAAACAGAGCTATCCTTTTGACCACTAGTGTATAAGCTTATACGATTGTCTGGTAAATGCAGCTCGGAATATGTTTGTTGTTTGACTTTAATCAGGCATAAACAGGACCAAAGGGCAACAACCGAGCCGCAATCGAAATGGCAACAATACTTTGGGGTATTTGGATAATTTCCATTTCTAAAGGGAAGTAGGACACACAATCAAAGGATTTCCATGTGCGAAGCTCTTGATGTCTAAGTTGGAGCAGCGACTCTATATGATATTAAGCATACGCCCGAGTAAACTTCTTGTTGTAACTGTGGGGTTGTGAATGCAAATGCAGATGAAGCTCTCTAAGCATTCATGTATTGAGCTATATCAGTTACAGCATTAGATATTCAGTAGACGCTCCACTGTCCTCTATGTCTTGTGAGTAATTAATTCCTTAAGATAAACCAAAATTTGTATACATAATATGCATAGTATTTAATTCTTTCCCTGAAAGAATTAGTTGATAGTTTTAACTTAATATTATGAATAAAGCCTTTTCAAAAGCCTCTTAATACTGCTAGAGTCATACATGATGTTATAGCTACACAAAAGTGGTTTTGATCTAGCTTTTCCAATTGCCATTTCAAAAAAGCATATGTAGGTCGATGGCTACCCAATGCGTTCCTTTGAAATCCAATTGAGTGGCTATTGGCCAGGGAATGGTCAGTATCGGCAGCAGAACATCCAGCAGCCAGAAATCGTTGACCAGCAGCAAAGTAATGCCATTCAATCACGGCGGGTAACAATTCGAACCGTAGATTTGTCTCTGCCAAAGCGGTTTTAATAAGCGGATTGTTATTCGGACTCGGGTCACTCGGTATTTTCAACTAGGGAGTGCATCGCAATCAGATGCAGTTCACAGTCCACAATGAGCAAAGGCAATTGTGAGAAATGACTGCCGGCGGAGTTTTTCTATGTTTTCCGGTTTCAATCTTGTGGACTGCAGCTGTCGCTTTTCATCAATGGCCAACAGAAGGGGCAAGGAAAGTGAGGTCAAGTCCAGCTTGTTTATGCATATCGGACAGCCTCTCACCTTTGGCATTGTGCGGTCTATATATACACGCGTATATTGTGACTGGGCAAACAACGCACTTAAGCCGGACGGCAAAGAAAAAAAGTGTTGAACAAACCAGGCTCCCTTGGCTTCTTTAGATCCTATTTCCTCTTCTGTTTGCTTCTATTTCACTTTGATGGCACGTGCGTGGAGTGGTTCTGAGCCCAGGTGATTCCACTGGAGTGCAAAGGGAAATATGCAAGTCAATAACACAATGTTGCCCTCAGGTGAAGTGCCGGCTGCTGGAAGTAAAACAAGTGAATGCCAATGAGAAGGCATCTTTAAATCGAGGATTGAAAGGTGTAGATTGTCTATAGCCCATAAACTTGTGTTAGTTTAAAATTTCTTGAGGCGAATAAAACAGGGTTAGAAGTAAAAATATAAGGCCGGCAACTGAACAACATTATTTAAGTTATGAATAAGTACACGTTTTAAGAATGCTTAAAATATACATTTAAAAAGAAATTCTTTTTGTTATAAATTTTTTTTTAATTAGGAAAATTAAAGCTGTAAGAAACAGGAATCTGTAAACATTTCCACTTTCCTGTTTTGCTGCTTTCGCTCTTGTTATGCTGAAAGCATCTTTAGAGCTGCAACTAATCCGAAATCTTAAAATCCAATCTGGAATATAACTTTGTTTGCCGCCTTGTATTTTCCCCCATTTACCAAGATTTTCTTTGTTTGTTTTTGTGGCGCAAATTGCATTCTGTGGGTGTCAACAAAACGTAACTCCCTCCACCGCCCTTTTTCTCTCGGCCAGGACAGTATGAAACATGATTAAATTACTCATACGCCTCGTGTGTACGCTTGGACAACAACTTCTCTAGCGATTTTGTTATTGTTGTTGCTATGCTTGCTCTCATTTAGTTAATTAAGTTTTACAACAGCTTGCCACACGCCCACAACCCGTCCGCCCCTTTAATTAGTTTTTAATTATTTCAGAGTTGAGCGTTTTCCAAAAATTTTCCGGTGGGCTTTGGGCCTGTTTTGGACTTTGGACCAGAGTTTACTTTGAGTTTGAGTTTTATTTGTATTTTGCAAGTATTTGTACGCCCCCAACAACAAAAAAAGGAACTAGGGCTTTGTTCATTTAGCACATTATTTCTACACGCTTTGTTTTTACTGCAGTTGGTTTGTTTGTTTGCTCGTTAGTTCAGGGCTTGCTAAAGTTTTGTGCAAGCCCATTAGCCTAACAGTCCGAGCAGAAGTCGCCGTCAACCTCGGTATATTTTAGTATAATTAACTTTTGTTGCAAATTAATTCTGGCACAAACAATTTTTGTGGCCCAATTTAATATAAATACACCATTAAATATGCAAGAAAAACATAATATTTTGCTCAAAGACTTATTTATTAAGATAAAAATTAATAAAAGAACCGAAACGAAAGCAAAAAAAAATGTTTATAATCTTAAAGACTAATTTATTAATTTGACAAGAGTTATTTACCCATAAATGGTTAAACCAAATTTGTATGTAAATATTTAGGGAAACTAAAATTAAAATGTTTTTTTATGAAAACTCACTATTGCTAACTGACCCTTTTTGCCATCAATTCTTTTCTTTTTTGTTTTAAAACACTATTTACAGGCTCATTATGCGCTCAGTAAGGGCCTTGCTACATTTAATAAATTAATGGGCGTTAACTCGAATATAAAATAAAATTTGCATGTCCAGAATCACACGTTGCTTTAAAAAAAGTAATCTGGATGGAAATTGTTGATATTACTCTGTATGCACGTACCTTCTGCCTTTTTATAGTTTGGGCATCAGCATAACACTGATTGAAATGGGCCAGCAAACATTTCACTTTATCAACTTGTGCATATTCAAGCGTGTTTGTATCTGCGTGTCCGTTTCCGTGAAAATTGGCTCAAACGAAAGCCTGCTGCAGGGCGGAATACAAAGGGAATTGCGGGGGTCTCGGCCTAGAACAAATATTTACACGGCTCGGTGTGTGGCATTTGCCATAAACTACCGTAAAACAATAAAATTCGCAATAAACCAAATGGAAAGCGGCAACTGCCGGCTCATGTGATATGCATGCAAAGCAACAACGCAAACAAAAGCCACAATACAGCACAATTGAACAACAAAGCCAAACGAAACGTTTTTCATAACTTAAATTGCAAAATGCAACGGGGGGTTAAGAGCGCAGAACAAAAAACAAATGTGAAGAAATAAAAGAGTGGAACGTCAACAGAACAGTTGGGAACAAAGCCGTAAAAACAATGACTAAAGACGGAAAGGAAAACTTGACTCTGATGTCTCCTGCAACAAAAAACACAAAGCAATTCAATTTGGCTCTCTTGACTGATATGCCTTATCGCTTTTATTATTTCCAATTGAACCACCAATTCATAGCCTGCCACAGAAATTTTAGAACCAACATTATGCTTTCAGCCACAGAGTGACGAACTTCCGTTTTTGTCTCGAACTTTTTCTCCTCATCTATATGAGTATCCTTTACAAATTGATCATCTAAATCAGGAGCCAAGGTTTCATCAACCACATTCTTTAACGAGGGGCAACTGCCTTCATCCGAATCTGTATCGTCCTTCCAAAGATCGGAGGTTGCTGCATCGCAGTCAGCTAAAATAACAATTGCTTTGTGATCTAGCTATATCCGTTCAAAAAGTATTAAAGTAGTTATTGTATTAAAATTAAGACTATTTCATAACTCCAACCTTTAAGCCAGTATTTCGCATTGGAAATAAAGATGTTTTTATCATTAAAAGTAAACAAATTGTTGTTTAGCTAAATTCAAATGCTAAAAATATTTTATAAATTTAATTCGTGCCATCTTTATTTTAGCTAATAAAATGTAAAAACTTTAGGAAAAATAAAAAAACTTTCAGTAGTTTCATGCTACTCTGTTCAATATATTTTTAATAAGTACAATATATATATGTTTGATCTGTATGTAGTATTATGCTTTCTTACCGTTTGCTTGATGTTGACCTAAAAAGCCAAAACCAAAGACTATAAGAAAACTAAACAAAGCTAAACACATGACTATCTTGAATAAACTACGAGCATAAGGTATTTTGCTCTTGTACTTATAGATTTCTAATAGAAATTCGTTTCGTTTTCGGTTGAAACTGGAACAAATTGTGACATTTCCAGGTTTTCTAGTTGGAAAAAACTTGTTTCAAACTTTCTGCAAACTGCATAATCTTGTTAGCCTTCCGCCTGGCAACACTCTATTTTTAGCTGCTTATCTTGATGCTGATTTATCTGTAATACAACTTGCGTTTCAGCCACTTAAGGCCACAATCTGCCTTTTGCCACTTGCCGACTTCTCTGACCCCTTCCGGGTTACAGGTGGCTTTGTAACAAACTTAGTTCAATAAAGTTCGCCCTCGTCTGGTGCCTTGCGCTTTGATCATCGCATCACATGCGTCTAAAGTGGCTTTTCCTTTCTGCCGACTCATTTAAAGCCTTTTCTGCCGTCGTAACCGGGGAAACATATTCAGACTTAGCGGCTTTCGCCGGTAATCTCTTTGAAGTGGGATTTGGCCTGGGAGGCCACCGTCGAGGATAGCAACTGTATCAGCTGTTTATATTTAGGTCCTTTAATTTATTGCCTGTCAAGCTGCTGGTCAGTTCGGTTGATAAACGGCCTAAGCCGATGGCCAGGATTTCTCTCTTTCATTTGGCTGCCTACTCGACATACAATAATTTGCCTTCAGTCAGGAATACACAGGGCAAAAATAAAATGTTAACAGTTTTGGCTGACATTGCCATTATTACTAAGAAATGGAATTATATAAAACCATATAATGATAAGCAATTTTATTATTATGAACATAAATTGTTTAACATAAGAAATAATGTCAATAGGTCTCATAAAAATTTGATATAAAGTACGGATATGGGTTAATTCATTAAATTTTAAAAATTTATATAATTTTTGTAATTTTATTCAAACAATCTTTTACCTACTACATTTAATTAACAAAAAAAAAAATGTTATATAAGAATCTTTTGTAAGATGTGATTATTGTTCTTATGATATTTTGTTATATACTTTCCCATGTGAAATTCGCTTTCCTCAGCAGAAAGAAGAATTAAAGCCATGAAGGTCCTTCTATATGAGTAGGAAGTTGTTAGTTGCTGGCAACATGAGAAACAGCAGCAAGTGCAACAGCAACGCCACCAGCAACATCCAACTTGTAGTGCACTTGTTGTTGCTGTTGTCGAGTGCACGACGCCGTATGCAATTATCACCCGAAAAAATACTACAGGGCCAAGAGTGCTCTTGCTCCTACTCCTGGTCACAGGTAGCAAAAATAAAAGGGTGAAAAAATGTAAAACTACTAGCTACAAATTCTGCCAACATTATGTGCTCAAAATGTAAATGTCATTTGGGGCAACTACAACAACCGGTGGCCGAGTGTTGCAACATTTGAGAAATGTGTGTTGCCAGTGAAGTGGCACCAGGACATCCAGAACACGGTCCGCAGTCCACTTGCCCACACTCCATGAATAAATGTTGAAACACAATCGAGAGCCGTAAATTCTGAGCAGTCATCAGCTGAAATAGGTGTAAGAAAAGGCAAAGGCAAAGAGGGGAATCCAGGAATAAAAAGGCCAACACAAAGGAGCAGAAAGGAAACGAGCAAATTCTATCCGGAGGGAACAATGGACCCGGGGAAATGTCTGTCACAAGGCAGGAGCATGAAACAATGCAAGGGAACGAAGTCTAATTGGTATAATAAAATGTCATAAGGCGAAAGAGCAATGCAGACCGCTTCGTTCTCTGATAATTCACCAGAGACAAAGGGAATAACTGTATTGATGATGTCCCCTGATGGGTCGGTTCCGATTGATTGCAGCAACTACATATTGATTTGGCCCCGATTAGACAGCTCGGAACAACTAAGGTAATTTCAACCAACGAGACAAGGAGACTTCAATCAATTAAGGATAATTTCACAACGTCTACATTTTCTTCGAACATCTCTTTCGACAGGGCACACAAAACAAATGCGAATCAACCGTTGTTGAACGTTGTATGAAACTATGAGACACCCTGAATTAAACACCATTTTTTTATATTCTTCATACATCTGCCTCACATTTTTAAAGATATTTGTGTTGATTTATGGACTAGAATAAAAGTATTTATTATACATATAAGTTTATATATTTCTCACATACTGAGAAACATGTACTATACTATTATTTTGAAAGGATCAGAAATTCTTTCTTTTCTTTTTTTAATTTAATCACAAATATAACATACCCAATCAATCTCATGTATTTACGAAAAAAAACGTTAAAGTTTTCTCTAAACTGGCAGAAGCCACTAAAACCCTGGCCACGCCCCCAACCGCCCATATATCAACTGTCGATGGCTATAAAGCTTCGTACTTTCGCATTTTCGCATCTGTTGGTGCTCCATTCAACCAGCGCGAGTGTACAATCAACAAAATTAGTTTCATTTGGGCAAATGGCATGGCTACCAGTCGCACCATTTCGACCCACATAGCAGAGGCTTGGCTTAGATAGGAATTTGGGAGGGGCAGGACGGTGAGAAATGTCGGAATAGAGCCCCCTAAAATATATTATATACCCCTGCTTTTGATGGCTCGCCCTTGCTTTTGATCTTCCCCGACTGCTGATAAATGATAAGATGCCGGAGGAGAGCTGAAAGAAAAAAATGCTGCAAAGTGTAGAGAATTGCGCCGCAGGTGTGTGGCACATCATGTTTCATCGCGCAACTTCAAGGATACTGCAAAGTAAATAATTAAAAATTTCTCAATCTTTTAAAGAAAACGTAATTCAAAAGAAACCCTTAATGGTCAGTGGACGGCCACAAAAGTAAGCCATTGCCAATTAGTGTGAAAATAAACAAGCAAAAAAACGAGGGGAAAACGCTCTAACCTGTAGGCCGCCCACAGTCTGGTGTCCTGGAAAATGAGTACGCAAAGTAAACTAAGAGAGAAAACAGGGTGAGAAAAAAGGGGGAAACTGTCTGTCAAACTACAGCAATAAATAATGGCCAGCTGCCGGCTGCTGCCAGCAATTTATAAATCTGTTTATTGTAACATCCCGTGACTCGCGTATTGTAATTTATGTATCTGGAATCTAGTTAAGCCTGCTGAAAATCAGCTAATGAGCGTCCGATTGCAGCTCAGCAGCTAGCTTGAAGAACATTTACATAAAAAACCGTATTACTTTATATGCACAAGAGATGTTGCTTGAGCAAATATAGTTCTTTCATGCTTTTCCCCTATGGTGTTTACAAAAAGTTTCTGTTGGCTACGTTCTGGTCAACTGACTGTCAATATTTTATTGGATGCATCTCGCTTTTTATATTGCATCTGGCGCAAGCACATATATAGGTATACCCTTTTCGTGCAAAGGGGGAAAATACGTATATAAATATACAAACCCACAGAAACGAATATTCCCAGAACCGACCAAATGCGCAATTTAATTTAAGTCACACAAAAAACGGACGAAAAACTGTGAGTAAGCAAAGAATGGCAAAAATACTTGTAAATATACGTTGCCCAATGACGCGATGAAGGACGTTACGCTAATCATGATGGTTTTACGGTAGGGAATTTCTTACTTGCTTAATTGGCCTTTTTCGAATTTTTCTGTGCGTTTTTGAATATTTTTAAATTTAAATTTACTGGCTAAACTGAAGGGGTTGGGTCCGCAGTTTGAAATGTGTATGAGTATTTCTTTTATATTAAAATTTTTTTCCTATGCATTAAATCCAAACTTTTTGTTTACATTTACATTTAATATTACATTTAAGGAACAATTAATTTCCTTAATATTATTAATCAAATTATTACTTTAAAATGCTAGACCACATATAAAGAACTTTTTCACACATTTGCATTTTAATTTTCTTATTTGTATACTTTTTCCGTATTTAAATGAAATACGTCTTCTTCTTCCTTTCGTTATACCCACAGTTTAACTCAATTAATTTTTTCGGTCCGTTTTTCACTAACGAATTTCCCAGGTTTTCTTTCGGTTTGGCAATATCTTAAACGCGTTCTCCTTTTTTGGCAAGTGCATTTCCCTTCTTGGTCCTTGGTTTCCATCAACACCCTCATCATTTCTTTTGTTTTGGAATTTTTTTTACAGTTTTTTAGTCGTGTCATTCAGTAGAGTTCTTCTTTATTACCTTCCCCACCCGACTGTACATTTTATATGTCCCATCATTGTCCTTTTTGGTCGGTGGAAAGGATATATAGGAGGAACGAACTGGAGCACTTTTATATGATGGCAGCCCGGTTGCAGTTTTCGTTTAACATTGCCATACATATTTGCATTTTTTTGAATGCTCTATATTACAACCCCTTTACCCTCTGTTCCAAGTCTTTTTTTGTAGATCCTGCAGCTTGTTTTAATTTCTTTGGTCGTAGTTTTGTTCTGGTTTGCCCCTTTTTTTCATTTGTCGAGCGAACGGGTTTCGATGACAGCATTGAAAAAAACTCCATTTCAGCCCCGCCCATCGAAGTTGCATTTCAATTGAATTGTCAGCGTATTGCAGTGAAAAATGTGTCATAAAATGTTGCCTCGTTAGGTCTTCAATTTGAGGAATTTTATTTTTGGCAACGTAAATGTAAATTTGCTGAATAAGTATTTTGTTTTTTTCTATGAAAAATACTGTTATGCAAATCCCGTTAATCCCGTTTTTTGCTTTTAACCCTTTTTAACTTATAACTGAATTAGTTGTAAAAATGTAAACAACAGTTTTATTAGTTTTTGAAAGTTTTTATGTTTTGTTTGTGGTTATATTTTCTGATTTTTTACATTTGCCCTTCAGAACCACTCAATGCTCAATTAAATTATTATTTAAATGCACACAGAGTGTGGCTTAATTATGCTCATTATGGAGTCATCGCCGGCATTGTTCGCCGCCTGTCATGAAAGTTGGTCGGATTGGTGTTACAGCAGAAATAATTAATGTTTCCATTGGCGCAGAAGTGGGAAGCGAGCTTATCTATAGCCCTGCATTGGCCTGTCAGTTGTTGGCCAACTTTTTCGGG